TCAAATCATGTCCTACTAGAGCATAAGATAACATAAAATAATAAGCTTTAAAAATTTTTTAATAGTTTTATTTATTCTATTGCAATGATTACAAATAAACATTTTTTCTGGTTACTATGAAAGTATTTAGAAATATCACCTTCATAAGGTTATTCTTACAAAACTGCAAACTGGAAAATTTCAGTATGACTTTTTTATTAAAATAAATTCAGTTTTAGTATTTTAAGTGTTCTAAATTGAACCTTGTGGCATTGATAGAGATATTAGAATGAGCACATATTTCATTAGTTGTGATAAAAATGATTTTCAATTCTTGAATAGTATAAAATTCTTTAAAGTAAAAATTTCCAATGCTTCTGCTGATAGTTACAGAATTCAATTATTTGTTCAAATATATAATTCACAAAAAGTGCGAGGCAAATTTTAGCTTAGCTGCTTGAATACCAAAAGTCCATTTTTAGTTTGTCAATATCATTTACTAATATATGTGAGTAATTAAAATGAGAAATAGAGGCAGGCATGGTGGCACATAGCTATGATCCCAGCACTTAGGAGGCAGAAGCGGGAGGCTCATGAGTGTGAGGTTAGCCTGAGCAAAAAAGTGAGATGCCCCCCCCATTTCACAAAACTGCAATAAAGTGAAATGGAAAACAGACAATGTGGAATCATGAAATCATTGTCAACATGCGTTACTGCATGATAATGGCTGTAACTGACTGTTTTTGATAACAGACTACCAATACCGTAAAAACTGGTTGATAGAAAACATTAGTTTGTTTCCTAAGCATTGCAGAATTTTGTTTAGAATAACTCACATTAAAAGTCTGCACAGGTGCACTGTCATAACACTGTCTGGGACCTGGGTGGATCTGATTGGATCACCAGGGGTGGATCTAATTGGATCACCAGGGCAACAGCAGAGGGCATCTCTGTTTTCATTAAAATGCATTCTTTTCACTGGTACATTTGCTATGTCCCTTAATTTTTGACTAAAGCAATGTGCTGGAGTGTGTGACAGCAGCCCTTATACACAAGATATTGTGACTTTATTCTTAGTTCTGGTAATCCATAATTTAAAGCTACACATACATTCAGAGAACACTTTCTTATGTTCCCTGATCCTGTGCCGCGTGGTTTTTGACCAAGCTCTTGGTATGATTTTCTCTCCTCAGTCTCTGCAGAGACATGCCTGCTACTCATGGTTTATTTCAGGGGAACTGAGAACTAGGCGTGAGACTGTAACATTCTAGTCTCTGTGCTTCACATCACCACCGATGCTAACTTCAATTAATGCATTTAAATGATTTAAGAGCACTAGGCGATCACTATGAACTAATAGCCATTAATAAGCCACAGCTCTTTATTCTGCTGGAATTATCTGCTCACAAAGATGCCCTCATGGAACCAACTTTGGTGTTGAAGGTATCGTCTTCTTGCATTTTCCAGAAGACTTATTAATGCTGCTGACATCACCCATATAACTTGTTACTTGAAAGTCACATAATCACATTATATTCTCATTACTCACTAAATATAATAAAAATTATATTGAAAAGGATACTTCTGGTCAAAATTAATAATAAAACAGCATATTTTATATCCATTATGCTATTAAGTCTCTGCAAAGCAGAATGCAAAGAACATCAGCTGTTCATAAAATGAAAAGTATATTTTATGGATAGTCTTATAAAATTAGATATGATAATGAGGGGGAAAGACTTTTAGCTTTTAAAAATATTTATTGAGAATTTCATACATGCATATAAGGTGTTTTGATCAAATCCACACCCACTCCCTCCCCTCCAGCTCCTCCCATATCTCCCCATCACTTTTTCCTGAACAACTTCATGTACTCTTCCTTTCTTTTCTTTTTTTCTAATGGGGCTTTTTGCTACTCTAACATTGGGGTCGGGGGGGAGACTTTTAGCAAACTGATTTCTCTTCACAGAACATTGTGGTTGCGCCAAGCAACACTTTGCTTCCTTCGTCACACACCTCTTTTCTTTTCTTCGTACCTCTGATCTAAACCTACAGACCGTATCAGTTTCTGTTCTGTGTCAGTTTAATAATGATGCTTTCTCCAGTTATGAGTGTTTATGGGTACACTTGGGGGTTATAGCACTTAGGAGAGTGTACTGTGAAAGCCAGGAACACAGTGATCATTTTCTGTTCTGTTCTGAATGTGCTCCAGTGCTGCAGTGTAAGCCTGAGCAGCCCTGATCTCCATTCTCCTACTGACTGTGGAGATGTGCAAGCACTTACAAGTATTTAATGTACCAGAGAGGGTCCAGTTTTCTTTGGCACTGTGCTACTCTGAGATTTTATGTTTGATGTTTTCCTATTCTCTGACTTCCAGGTTAGCATTACATTATTTAAAATCTTTTGATTCTTCTACGATGGGACTGTAGAATCATCAAATAAAATATATGATAAGCATTTAATTATAAAATTAATCTGCCAGGATTGGGGTATACACCTGTAATTCCAGCACTCAGGAGGTTGAAGCAGAAGGAGCATAAAATTTGAGAACATCCTAGGTTACATAGCAAGGCCAAGGCCAGCATGGCTATGGAGTGAGATCCTGTCTAAAAATAAAAGCACAAACCACAATAAACAAGCAAACAAAAACACAAAGTTTGAGGGCATGTTCTAGAGTTCTTTCCTAGAATGTTTGACCCCAGCATTGCAAAAAAGTTTTCAGATGAAATAAGTGAGTTTTCTCAGTGCACACATATGCTAACAACTTTTAGTTGCTTAATTCTGAGATAAAGCATTATATTTTATCTATCAGTTTTTAACCATGGCAACTATGGTCTTTTCTTGTCCTGTTTCATCCCCAGTAAACTCCAGAGAAAGATGCCATTTGATGAACCAGACATGGTATTTAATAGACATTTTTGGTATGTAATATAGACATTTATAGAGCAACGGATATGAAATAGGTTGAACTGTGTATTGCTGGGATGAGAAAAGAAACATTTTAGCTTACTTTAACCTTGTTTTGTTATCTTTTTACTTTATGGCTTATAATAATGAATTATATTAATAAATTCTAGATATGTAATTAATAATAAATGATTATTATATATCGTTGGTCCATTTACAATTTTTTTTAACTGGACTTGGGCTCTAATTCTTAAAATTTTGGTGAAAGAATCAGACGTTTGACTCTGGCTTTATTTATTTATTTATTTATTTATTTATTTTTTATTTTTTGGTCTTTTTGAGAGTCTCTCTGTGGCCCCAGCTGGCCTGGAACTCACTATGTACACCAGGCAAGCCTTGAACTTACAGAGATCTACCTGCCTTGGCCTCCCGAGTGCTGGAACTAAAGGCATGTGCCACCATGCCCAGCTCAACTTTGGCATTTGGGATGAATGTGCTCCTTTAGTAGATTAAGCTTTTTAAGGAAGAGCAAAAATAAATACTTCAAATATACAATGTGTGCTTTAGATTTATATGTGTGTGGAGGTTTTAGAATAGTCTCAGTCACCAACTTCTTTGTTGCCATTTCCATACTATTGTTAGCTGAACTGTATAAACTACAAAGATTTTTGTGGTTAAAATTAGCATGACTTTTAATTAGTAACTTCAGTCTATGTTTGTTCAAGTAGTGACAGCGATATCACAATGCTAAATATATATACACACACACACACACACACATTTTGTATGTGGAATATATATGCGTTTGAAAATTATTTGGGAACTCTTTTATCTCACAAGAATCTGAGTCAATGTATTAGTTTTGCATTTTTCTATTACAAAGCTGCTCTTTAAATTTTTGAATTAAATTGATTCAATAAAATGATACTGGTAACTAGGTGAAAGAATTGACATAAGGCACCAATGGCAAGAATTTTCGGTGAAATTTTAAAATGGTGTCTGGATACTGGTGTGTGATAAAAGCGGAGACCTTATTGGAGACATATACATTCTTCAATGCACTGAATTAAATAGAAATTCAAGAACAGGATCTCTATATAGTCATCTTCATCAACCTCACACTTGTCATAATGTGTTGAAAAAATAGTGTTTGCCTTGATAGCTGGGAATTATTTAGATCTGAGATAAATGACTTTCACAAAGTTTTTATGGAATGGAAACTTCAGGACCACTCATAAAATTACCAGGGTTTGGGACGTAGGCTAATGATCCCCACCTGTGTCCATATTCTCAATTCTTGATCCTGGGAGTAAAAGATTTTATGGCAAAAGGAACATAAGAAACAGATGAATTGAGATTGACATTTTACTGATTAAAATAGAGACATTATCATGAATTATCATAGTGACTCCACTAGAATTGTGAGTCTAAAAGCATGAATGGCAAAATGGAGTGTATCAAAGTCATGGAATGTGAGGCTAATTTACTTGATCTTTTGAGGAAAAATATTGTAATTATTTTTCCATATTAACTTAATTTTCATTCACTTGTACAAATATGGTTAATAGTTTGTGTTTATTACTATATAACACAAGGCAATGTAAACCAATAAGGATTTGATTTCTAAGACATGAGGCCATGTGCAACATGGGCACATAAAGTGTGCATTCTCTATAGCTGTGACTTAAATGCATTTGTTATATATTTTAATATTTACAATATGTTACACATACAGCTAGATACCTGGGTAGACATATAGAAATGTGGACTATAACGCATAGTCCAGATTATCAAAAGTTAAAGAGATATACACAGTGTGTGGTGGTGCATGCCTTTAATCCCAGCACTTGGGAGGCAGAGGTAGGCGGATCTCTTTGAGATCCAGGCCAGTCTGGTTTCCATAGTGAGTTCCAGGCCATCTGGGGCTACAGGAAGACCCTGTCTCAAAAAACCAAAAATAAAAATATTAAAGATACATGTTCATTAAAAATAAGTAAAATAAAAATGATGGTATGGACATACGGACCAGTGAAGAAGGATGATGTGTGCTGTTATTTTTTCCAGATTCACGAAATCTGCTTCCTCTGCTGTTAAAATGAATGCACTTTCCATTTATGTCCTCATTAAATAACGTCCTTTATTTCCAAGCCAGTCTTGGAATCTTAGCCAATATATTTCTCTTTTTCTTTTATATGTGCACAATCCTACGTCATGGGCACAAGCCCATAGACCTGATCTTCTGTCAGCTGACTTTTATCCACATAATGATGGTCCTCACTGCAATGGATAGTTGGTTTACAGATGTACTTGAGTCTCTGAACTTTGGGAATGACTTCAACTGTAAGGCAATTTTTTACATAAATAGGGTGATGAGAGGCCTTTCCATCTGCACCACCTGCCTCCTGACTGTGTTTCAGGCTGTGACCATCAGTCCCAATACCTCCTTGTTGGCAAAATTTAAACATAAACTAAAAAGATATATGATCCATGTTTTCTTCTGTATTTGGTCTCTCAATTTATCTTTCAGTAGTAACCGGATCTTCTACGTTGGTGCTATTACCAACACAAGTGAGATCAACCAGTTGAAAGTCAGTAAATATTGCTCACTTTTCCCCATGAACAAAATCATCAGGGAGTTGATTTTAACACTGACAACCTGTAGGGATGTATTTCTTGTAGGAGTTATGCTGACCACAAGTACATACATGCTGCTTATCTTGTACAGACATCAAAGGCGACACCAGCATCTCCACAGCTCCAACTCCAGAGCCTCCCCTGAGAAAAGGGCCACCCAGACCATCCTGCTTCTGGTGGGTTTGTTTGTGGTCATGTACTGGGTAGACTTCATCATCTCATTGGCCTCAACCCTGTTATGGGTGTACAATCCTGTCATCCTGACTTTTCAGAAGTTCGTACTCAACATCTATCCCACATTTAGTCCTTTGATACAAATCAGTTCTGATAAAAGAGTAATCAGTATGCTGAAAAGCATGCAGTCTAAGTGCCATCAGTTTTAAAAAATGCTCATTATTTTTTCCCTAAAAAACAGTTTCTTCTGACTCTGGTTATTGTCCAGGTGGCAAGAATTTTAAGTAAAATCTGAGGAGTTGCACATATGGTATTTGTATTCTTTTGATCTTCTGCTGTCAAGAACTGTGAAGTTTATAATTTAATATTCCTATATGAATTCCTCTTTCCTTGTCTCTTTACCTTAATGTTGTGAACACTTCCTCCATCCTGAAGTAGATTCACAAGAAGCTCCTGTGGGATAATACCTTTTAAGGTTCACTTTTGAAAATATTTTAATTTACTCTAAATAATTAAGGACAGTTTTCATAAATATCCTATTGTGGCTTTAATTCAGCTTCCTCTTTATAATTTCTCTGGATCCATAAAGATAATATGAATTTGGATTTTCCATTTTAATCACAGTTATTACATGAAATTTTCATGTGCCTAGTTATTGGTTTACTTGCACTTAATTTCATCCATACTTGCTGAAATATAATTGATAAATAAAATATTGTGTATGTTCATATATGTGGTGTACAATATGTTTTTTTTTGTCCGTGCGTGTGTGTGTGTGTGTGTGTGTGTGTGTGTGTGTGTGCATGATCAGATGAAGGGTGCGTGTGTGTGTGAGGGTGTGGAAGCCAAAGATGGCATTGGCCACTTTCCTCAGATGCTGTTCACCTTGTATTTTGAGAAAAGGTCTCTCTCTGGGACCTGGTGCTTGCTGAGTAGGCTGGCCTGCAAGCTCTCTGACTCTCCAGCAGGCCCCAGGGATTCTCCTGCCTGACTCTCCAGCACTGGGACTGCAGCATGCACCACCATGTGTAGCTGTTTCATGTGGGTATTGGGGACTGGAAGGGCAAGCAGAGAAGCCTTTATTGAGCCATCTCCACAGCTCCAGTGCAGTGCTTTATATATAAAACTATATAGACTAAAACTTTCTACTACAGTCAGGTTATATAATACATACATTGCCTCAGTTAGCTCTTTTTAAAATTCATTTTTGAGAATTTTGGGCATGTATACAACGTATTTTGATCATACCCACCCCTACCCTCTCAGATCTTTTTGTGCTGAGAAAACTTGATATGTAGATTCCTTAAGTTCAAGATTTTAATGTTGCTCCCAACAGTAGTAGATATGCTGAACCCCCATGATGAATTATCTTTTAACTAAAAGTTTAAGTATTTGATCAATATTTCCCCTGCTCCTCTATACTTCCCGTCCCTGGTAATATTCAGTTTCCTCTCTGTAGCTGTATGCTTATCTTTATTTTTTAGACTCACTTATATACTGCTTGTCTTTCTGTACCTAACATATTTTTCTCAGATAATATCCTCAAAATTTATCCTTATTTTTACC